AAAAATATGAAAACATATTAATATTTCCTGTAATGTAAGGCACGAGTGTTGTTGAGGACTTTGACCCATAACTACCGGCGCTCTTGTATTGCAAGTAATAATTAAGTGAATTAATAGAGAAATAATTCAATTGCATATAAAAGCAAACAAACATATCATTCAATATAATTGGTGTTCAATTACTAAACAATCAAATTATATTCAACATTCATTTGATTATTATTTACTTTCACTTACAGTATAATGAAATCAAATTCTGTGAAATATGAAGACATTTATATATTCATGGATTTGTAGAATAAATTGAATAACTGTTTCACAAACATATGGAAAGTTTGATATAAATTTATAGTATAGTTATGAATAAATCTTAGACTTAATGTAGAGTTTGATGATTAAAATAGTCTTAATTTGTGTTAATGTATGCCTAAAGAGCTTTTTGCAGCAATTAATTGTTTGAGACGTGAATATTAATGATATAATTATTAATTTAGCGAAAATAATAATTAAAATAATTTAATTCTTTCTATATATAAATCTTTTTGACCTCAACTTCAATGCAAATGTTTAAAGTTTAGAGACATGACTCCAGGGCTTATAAATAAAAGTTGATTTAAAACTTTAAATTCTGTTCGCATGTCATTCACTGTTTAATGTCTCCATTATATGCGACCATAAAATGAAACATAAATATAACTTAAATGATATAACTGTAAGAATTGAAGTCTTATTAGTATTTTGGATGCAAAACCATTGCATAAGACTTCTTTTGACTCAATCAATAATTGGTGTCCTTTTAAGCCATCAAATCCGTCACTCGTATCCATCCATTCACTGATCGCACGATTCTCACAACTCTTGACAGTAACTGAATCCACACTTCCATTAAATCGCATACATTTTGATTTGTTTATCAAATATTTCACATTTTATGACTTTATCACACATTAACTCATAATTTATTGTATAAATGCATTAATTTAAATGATTTTAAAATTTTATATTTTAAATATGCAAAATACTAGTGAATAAATATTAGCTTATACTAGTATACCTTACCTGTTTTTAAACCATGATTAATGCAAAGTTATATAATTCACTATAAAACAAAAAATAAGCTATAATTTTTTAAACAATTACATAATTTTGAATCTCATTACTTGAGCAGTGCATTAAATTTTATAATTTTAAATGATGGCAAATGAAATACATTTTAAACACAAAAAGTGATAATTTTAATATTTTTATTAGCTGTCAATAATTTGTCAGTTACATGTTTGAATTGATAATTACTAATGATAATGAAACTGAAATATACAATGAAAATAAAGATTTTCTTTAAATTGAAACATTATCTTTGAATAAAACAAAATAATCAAAAATAATTGTAACTGTAATACAGTAATTTGGACTCTACTATACAATTCCTGCATTCATTAAAGTTTTTGATATAATCGTATTTTTTATAACTTTGGTCTAAATCTAATTCAGAAATTCAGATAATTTGTGTAGAACTTTGTGACCAATCCATAGCTATTATGTAACAAAATTATCTTAAATTATACATCAATTGAGAGATAAAATCACAGATACTATAGAACTGATGGCTGAATAATTCAAATTATACTTCAGTCCAAATACAACAAGTGTTGCGATTTATGATTGACTTAAAACTCTTATTTACACAAAAATCAGGAAAATTATATTATTTCAGTACTAATAGAATACTAATAATAACTGTTATTAATAGTATTGAGACCTTTCTTTGACATAACTTTCCATTTTGGGGCTGATATGTGCCGCAAATACATTATAAATAACAAAACATACGATATATTGTTTAACATTTGTTTTTAACCCATTCATAACGACTAGTAATATAAATAACAGAAAAATATTCTATAATATCAAGAAAAAAGATCACAGAAAACGATAAAATGAAAAAAATATTATATAATAACGAAAACATAAGTCAAATACAAGAATCGAGTGAAATATATCGTACAATGAATGCTATATTAAGTGAAGTAAAGCATAAAAAGTGACACAAATTTCATACACAACTTAACGATTCATAAAAATAAAACTATTTCACAAAAGACTGCTTCTCTTAACAGTTGTTACATAAAAGTTTCAAAAGTTTGAGTTCATAACTAAAGTAATTGTCTATAATTAGTCGAAACACTTAAATACCGTTATAGACATTGCTTTCGAGGAAATAGATGTTTGACTCGTAATTATGTTTATTATTCATTGAATATTATTGCAAATGCAATGCAATTGAAATTAATTAAAATAATTGCAAATAAATTCATAACTCTGTTGACTAAGGGTTAGTCTCAATGTTAGTCTTGCATTCAATTGAACTCCTTCTCTAACTTCTATGCGTTTAATCATTAATTGTGCTTTAATTCAAACAAACAGTCAAATAGATTATACACAAAACAAAAGGCTATTTAAGAATTACTATATGCTATGCTTCGAGTGTTTAAATATATAGAAATTGCTTAGAAATAAATGAATAGATTTTAAAATCGTTGAGCCGTTAAATACATAATTAATTGAAACCTATTGCAACACTTCTAATAGTAATCAATAAATGAGTGAACAATACGCTTATTTGGACAGAGAGTTGAGTCCTTGAATCTCCTCAAAGCCACTGTCAAGAATACATTGTGGAGGCGTCTCATCGGAGGGTACAGACATGCCAGGGATGGCACAGGCGTCAAACCTAGTCATAAGGCTCTGTTTGGTCGGCGGAGGCATTGCATTGAAGTCCACAAAATTGGTTCTCTTGTTATACACTTCATCTATAGTACTATTCGATAAAAAATGGTTCTCATTGTCAGTGACAGTAGAAGTGAGCGAATTAGCCATTGGAGTGCCTCTCCCATCAACCAATGAAGTGGTGGTTGTGGTTGTGGTTGCCATTGATTTTGAACGGTTCACTCTGGAGTGACTCTTCCTATTGGAGTAACTGTTGTTTATACTGATAGAACGGTTCGGTTTGATCGGTGTTTCATCGATATTAATGGCCGGAGACTTGAATCGCAAGTGATTCACATCCAATTGGGAACAGTTGTTGAGAGCAGTGGACGTTTCGCTGAAACTCTCACTTAAATGGAAAGCCAGCTCTTCATTCTTCATGGATAGTCTGCGCTTTTCCCGCATCTCCTTCTCGTAGAGACACTGGAGATCCTGGTGCTCACGAGTCAGTTGATTGTATTGATGTATTTTGCGGTCGAGTGTGATCTGCAGAGTCTCGACCTGTTGTTGAAGACTTCGGACGTTCTCCTTAGCGAACGGCAATTCATTCATCTTTTCTTGCGTTTCAATCATCTTTCTCTCCAATGTATGGATCTTCTCGTTCTTCATCTCCATAACTACTTTCAGTGACTCCACCTCCAGATCTAATTGTTTGCTCTTTTCAGTCAAATACTTAAACTTCTTGTCCTTATCGTTCATAATGTTTTGCTCCATCTGTTTGAGTCGACTTTCCAGCGCTTCCTTTGTTTGTCGAGTTTGAGTCAATTCCGATGTCTTCTCTTCCATTTGTGCCATCAATTGATCGCAATTTTGTTGACTTTTCATCAATTCATTGTTATATTTGTCTTCCAGTTTCTTAGTGTCCAAACAATGCATTTCTTTGAGTCTCTTTATGTGAAACTCGTGAGTCACTTTCGCTTCATTCAAATCGCAAAAGTTTTTCTCTCTTTCTTTCATCAATTGATTGATTTGCTCCTCAAATATAAGTTTCATATCATTCAGCTCTACATCCTTTGTGTCTGATTTGTAAATAATTTGTACAAATAATTCAATTAACAAAATCACTCATAATTTGTTCAAAATGAAATACAGTATATAAAACTAAATGATAGAAAGCATACCGAGATTCTCCCTGAGCTGTTCGCATCGGGTGTGGGCAGTATTGAGGGCTTTTTTAATTTTGGGGGTTTCGAAGGGTTCGTACTATAGTTATAAGGAAATTGTCATCAAGTCAATGTGTGTCTAATTGAATGCAATGCTGATGTCGATTATACCTGTTCTATGAGGTGTTGAATAACCACTGAAAGCGAGTCAAATGCGAGTCTCATATAGTTGTTGTCTAAACCAATGCTTTTCAATTGTTTAGTCTTGGATTCGCATAATTGTGTTAATTTCTGGATTTGGTTTCTGTCATCAACTGCTTGTGCGGAGCGAACATCTCTTTTAGAAGTGCTAGCATTGGATGCATTGATTTTGGTGTTTGTCATTCGCTTAGCCGTCGCCGTAGAGCTGGTAGTGTTTGGTTGGGTTGGCCTTCGATTTGTTGTCGATTTTTTCTCATTAAGTGATGGGACGGCGCCTACCATTAAATAAATCAATTCATTAGTTATGAATACCTATGGAATGCAGAACTAATTTTATGCTTAAATGCAAATACAGTTATAGTTTGAATTCGTTACCAACTTTTATTAGTATTAGTTTTAGAGTAAATAAAAAGTAAACTAAATATTAAATTAAATTTAAGCAAAAAAAGAGGACTTAAGAAGTGATTTTGAGCCAAATTAATGGCCAATAGAACCCATTATATATTTTACTTAAGAGTTAGTTTGTATGAAATGTCTTAATAACCTTGTGGTCGATATAATTGTGAGGACAGGTATGTATAGGCGGTTATTCAACTTTTTTTTATAATAAACGTTAATATGAAGTTTAGACCAACAAAAGTGGGACAGCCTTTCCAATGACACCATAAATAACTTTAGAAATCAATAAATAAATTAAAGGACAGAACAAGTGTTTGGAGAGTTGGCGTTAATAATGATTTTGAGCACAAGTAGGGATGAGAAGCTTGTTATCATAAGTTGGTACGAATCGTACGTATTGTACCCAAAGCGCCGTAATGTCGGGGCTTTACAATCCGACTTCGGGCTCGACTCGAGTTTCGATTGTGAACACAAGTGTCTGCGAAATGAACTTTCTTTTGGTTTTTAATGTTTTGTTCACTTGTTTTAGTCAAACCATTGGACGAGTTATCGTCCGGACTCTCGGAATCTCTGCTCCGAACTCTTAGTATTCCCTGAATTGGTTGAGATTTTAGGTTCTCTTTGTTAGTGCCGTCTCTTATCATCGGCTCGTCGTTTATAAATGTTAGCACAAGTGCACCGTCAGTATTGCTATGAATCATATTTGCCGAAAGGGTAGAGGAGGGGAACGACACCACTTCGGACTCTGGTAACACATCTTTCGTAACTTTAACTTTAATGATATCAGTAGTGGAAGGAGTGGTACGAGTAGTGGAAGCGGCGGATGTATCGACAGACGAGTCTATTTGAGAGATATTAGACTCGTTTGAAGTGAAACTCAATTCCTGTGCAAACGGTTTGCTATGATTTGCATCGATTACTGGTTCTTCAGGATCGCTATGTTTGTTATGATTCTCAATGGTTTGAGTGGCACTTAATTGAGGTTTAGTTTCTGTGGGGGACTGTGATGTGTTGGTGTTGGTAATGGGTTCACCATTTGTATGGGCATTGGATTCCAAAACACCATTACTATGATTGACACAAATATTATTTGTTTGCATAACTTTTTTGGAAACAGAATTCGCTTCAGTTTTATCTAATTTGAGGTTTTGCTGACTTTTCATATATTTAAAGCTGTTTTTTGGGTCACTAATGCCTTTTGAGTGCTTTAATACATTTGAATCGAAACACTTGACAACACTTTGAACTTTATTATCGATTTCATCGCTAATATAATTATTTTTTCCATTCATTGATGAGATACCATTGATTTGCTTTTTCACTGTTTGCTCATCTGTTTGTACACAATATATTGAATTCTTTAACACTTGATTGCAATCACTTTGTACTCCATCTGTTGTATCATTAGATTCAGAGATCGTGGCATTTGTTTCGCTTTCAGTGACCACTTCATCCACTTTTGATTTATCTTCGGAATTAGGGCTCACTTTTAGAGTAGAATCAGATTTAGACTCAATTTGTGGACTATTTAGTGGACTTTGACTGGTTATAAATAATTGCAATTGTGTTGCATTGGGAGCCATAGAAAGCTGTGGCGAATGGGAAATGTTTATGAAGTCATGGTTAGGATGGTTATGATGGTTAGGAATGCGGTCCCGAGTGATGATATACCCAGAAGTGACGGGAAGGCCGTTCAACTGCTGCCACGACCGACGCATTGAGCTCTTGGATAACAAACTGTTGGCTCGTCTGCGGCGTCGAGTGTCGGCTTCAAAACCAATCTTTTCGTGACTAAGAAGTATTGAATCGCGTGATCCGTAACTTGATTTTCGTTTACTCAGTGAATAAGACATAAGCGATGGGATGGTAGCCCCGGACTGTTCACTGAAATTACTGACACAATCCTCGCTATTGTTGTCACTAATCTTATCTTTAATGCGAAACAAACCAAATAAACTCGAAATACGTCGGGATTTGTCACTTCGTTTCGATGTGATGGACGCCGAAGAAGGACACGGACTCTCACACGTCCTCACAAACACTGAATCCATGCCATTATGACAACCATTCACTCCATTCACGCCATTAGATTCAGTCGTGTTATCATTCAAGTCCGTGAAAGATGTCTTGTTATCACATTCCTCGACGGCTTCATAGTTGCCATTAGAGATGACATCAGTCTCCGGGACTGTAATCAAAGGTCGGATTCCATCCAAATTGCGATTCCATTTGACTCTCATTTTTGTATTCAAAGTGAATGAAGGGTTGGCAACGAATAGACCAATAGATTGTTGAATCAAATGAATATTTTAATGATAGCTCTCGCATACGGTTTTGTGGTTTTTATTTGTATAGAATTCAATGCATTTCTATCTCATCAACAAATTCCAAGGTTTTATTGACGGCAAAAACAGTACGTTTACCACAAAAACTATTCACTTTTTTGCATTATTCAAGAATAACACACATTAATGACAAAATATATTATTTAATAGTTTGCTTGAGACGATCATAAATAGCTTGATATTATTAGCAATTCATGAATGCAAACACTGTTAGACTATGTGACGGTGCAGTTCTCCAAACACTTCATAAACACTAATAAATGGCTGTTAATTGAGTTTTATTTAAGTTTAATGTCACCAAATAAGCCAAACGTCTATTTAACTAATAAATCAAACCAAATGTTATGCAATAGAAAAAACTATGCGATTATAATCACTGAACATAACTGAGTAGAATATTATAGCATATTATAAACAGTAATCATATTCAAAGCGAGTCATAAGAATTTGACACAATTTGCTGGTGAATATCAAATCGATAAATGAGGAAAAAATTATTGCAATTAAAACTTATTACTGAATACAACGAGAAAGTAACACAACTAATGGATTTGCGTCACTCGTCTAACTCATACCCAAACAGCACTCAAATTAAATATGATATTCACTATGAAGTGAATTGAGAGACAAGTGCTTCTCAAATATTGGACTTAACGTTATGTTGTGGTGAATATGAGTTCCCATTTACGGCAAGCTTTAGTTAACCAATATTTTACACAAACACCACATTTTCCATCAAGTGGTTGATGTACTCAATTGGCGCTTACATTGAGTTACGATTAACTCATTTGCAAAATCGCGAGAATTAAATGTAGTTCACAGACAACCGTATTGTACACAACAGATATAACTTATACACATTTAGCGCATCAAACAATCTGCTGTTGAAAACTTTTTGACACCTTTTATCTAATGATTGATTCACTTCAGCAACAAAAACAACAACTTTTTACAACTTATACAATGTTTTCAATGACCGCATATTCAATGTATTCTCAGATTCAATGTCTCAGATGTGTGGCGCGGAGTCTTGAGAGTGTGGATCAGCACTGATTGCGGACCTGTGTCTGCAATGTCTGCAGTGGTGGCAATACTTTCTAATCAAATGAGTCGAAAGCACGATATGTTAGGCATGAAGTGAACGCTAACAACATTTCACGCCTGCATTATATGATTACTGAGAAGCAAAGAGTTATACACTTTTAGAAACAATTCATAAATGGGAGGAACTGTTCATAAATCGGTTGACTTTGTGTTCGTTTCGGTGTCTACGGCTCAGAGCGAGACAAACGAGACACTGATTGGCACACATCATGTGCTCATATTGCATGTGTTGGCTGTTTGCAGTGACACAGCACAAGACTATTGGAGAGATAGTGAGCACAGGTATTGGAGAGATAGTGAGCACAGGTATTGCAGAAGCGGATTGTGTGTAAAATAAGCGGTTCTCTGAATGGAGAGCTACTCTGAGTTACACCGACCGACCGAAGACTTCCTGCTTTTTAAGAGTGAGAGAAGTTTTACACGAATTCTGTTTATAACTCACTGTAAGACCGCATGAGTGGCGCAAATGCGAGTCACCACTGAGTGCTCAATATTGTATTGAGAGCTCACTATTGAGTGAAATATACACAATCAATATTCCGATGGGTATTACCAACCAAAAGGTAAAACATAATAAATACTCGAGAATAGTATTGCATCTTATAATACGATCCTTTCGTCTCACTGCAGGCTATTTAGTTTACACTCAAATACTGTGTACTATACTATACACTAAACTCTGTTATATAATACTATCGTTTGAGTGACGGTTTCACGAAAACCAGTCTTTTAAAGAACTTAAGCTAAGATTAAAGAGATTTTATTTTATTTAAAAACCCGATCTGACACACAATCGTATGCTATATATTAATAGCGATACGAATATACAACTGAAAACTTATTTCTAAACAAAACCTTATTTAATAAATCAGTGGAACACAAGTTATGTCAAAATTGTTATAAAATAATAACTACTTTTAACTTGACTTAATAATAGCATATAAATTGTCTTCATATGAATTAAAATAAATTTTAATTGAAGTCCAAAAACAAGAAGTAAGAAAAAGTGAGCTCTCGGTTGCCGACTGAAAGACTCGCTCTAATGCATGAATGCATTCAAACATTTTTTGATACTTTTTTGCGAATAAAAAATTGTTTTGTTTTTAAATATGAGCGAAAAGCTAGAGTCTGTGCATTGAGTGACAAATGGCTATAATAGTGGTGCCGATGAGGAAGAACTTCGATATATATTGTATTAAAAATATATCTCTTATTAACTTTTTTATGACAATCAGATAGCAATTGTCAATTCACTCTCAATTGTCAGCGTTTATGTCTATGGGATGCACGGATCGCTGCGTTCAATGCTTTGGACCACAAATTTAATTATATTTTTATATAAATATTATTTCGTCAAATGACTGCAAATCGATTTGATTTAATTCAATACAAACTCTAATTACTATTGTGTAACAAAACAATTTTCAAAATCACTTTATTATGAAATCATTGACCAAAAGTTAATGAAAATAATATAATAAAACAATTGAGTGTAGCGTTTGAACACATATCAGACCACTTGTGTTCACTATTAAAGGAGATCCTGTTTTAACACTTTTTTAAATGCAAACCAAACCAATACTACACTAAATTTAATAGTTTCGATGCATAGGAGAACAGGTGTAGGGGCTGTAAGGTATGGTATGGCCTGCAAGGGCTCAAACGTGCAGAACTGAAATAATAGCATTAATTCTTACTATATTTACCATAAGATCTCATCAGACAATAAAAGAAAAATTTTTACGCTTTGATAACTCGACTCATTGCGAGATTGTGAAGATTTGACTCATAGTAAGAAAAATAGTATTCTTTGTAAATGTTTTCTTTATATAATTTTCAGTTAATAGTCTCAACAGTAATTTGCAAATAATATAAAAGTCTGCAAACGTAATGAAAAAAAATGTTTTGGACAACCACAATAGATACTACAGAATCTATTTAAAATGTATATGAGTTGCAAGTGTAGTGTAGGTGTAAGTGTTTAAGTGTTTGTATGATAAATATTTCTCAATTCAATTCAAATGCGCTGTTATTATCATTTTTGACAACAATTTTTTTATATATAATTAATTGGAAAAATTCAAATACAAGGACACGGATCGGGTTCACAACACAACACAATACACACTAAATGAACATTTTTAATACGTTTTTCTAAAGTATTAAAATATTTGGCAAATATTTCAAAAAATGTATGAATTTAAACACAATTATTGAGCACAAGGTAGGCATCGATGCATTGCAAACAGAGTTATAAAAGTCAAAGTTGTTGTCCTCTCTCTCCCTTCCCTTTTACGCTATTAATACCGTATATAAAGTAAACTTAATGTAAATAATTGTTATTTAACTTTTAAATGCTTAGAAAAATTATAAATTCTTAAAATTCATGTCAAACTGTGTTATAAATAAGATTGCATTCAATTACGACTACAGAATTAAAACAAACTTTTTATGCAATCAAATGACAAGTGAGTCTTAAATACAGTCATATAAATGTAGATTAAGTGTGCGTTTAAATGGGATTTATTTATATCTATAAGTAATATAACTATAGATACGACAGCATTAATAGTAAGGAATAATAGTTGGGGTCATTAGAAGCGGTTAGAGTTAATGAGTATTATTTTAAACGTCAAATCAGTTAATCGCTTCCTTAAGGGAAAGCCTCTAAACATTATTTTTTGTTTTAGTTTAGCGTAACGTAACACAAGGCTTGAAATGAATAAATAGATTTTCTGTTATTATATAACCGTAAATACTATAATAAATTTACGTGAAAGTCAGCACTTATTTCTACAAATTTATGTCTTAGTAATGATACCCAAACACAAGGGGAGGTTAGATATGATAATAAAATGCAAATCACTTCTTAAATACAACTATAATTGATTGCGAGATAAGCATTAAATGAATAAAAAATAAATTAATTGCAAACCTCTGTCTCTTCTGATGGTTTGCTGCGATCCACTCTTTTCAGTGCACAGCAGAGTCGTCGGCGGTTGTTGTGGTGTGACGGGTGTCGCAGCTATTGACGACTTTGGTGTGGCAACTGGTTGTTGACTCCGTGTGTTTCCGGTGCTCTGATTGCCATTGGAATCACGTACAAAGGTTTTACTCTTTGGAATATTCACTATAAATCACAAATCAATTCATTAATTCCAAGACATGACTCCAACAAACAGTGAACACATCTCTGACTCTTAATCAGCAAATTATCAGCGAATCACTGATAGGCATACCTTTAGCAGCGCTTGCATTGACAACAATCTTCTTAGCTGTCGATGAAGTAGTGGTTGATTTGACAGATGGACACGAAGGGCTCAAATGACTAGAATGGTTATCGTCGGCAACAGATAACTCATCTGATGGACTAATTTGAGGCAAAGACCCGTTTGTAGCAGCGTTTCGATGAATGTTTGCACTGATCTTGCCTTTGATAAGCGTATTATTATTGTTAGTATTGTTAGCGTTACAAGTCTTAGACTTTTCTATTTTAGTCATAACGGCGTCCCAACGGCCGGGGGTCTTAAACTTCTTGCGAACGGGCGCTTTGGCTGAGGGCGAGGCCGCTCTTTGTATCTTCTCTGACGCTATCATTGGCTTCGAGTCTCTTGTTTGCAGAGAATTGGGTCGAACTGCAGATGACTTCATTGAATTAACTTTACTTTTAATGCTATCATTAGTTTGGTTTTCATTCAATGACTTAACAATAGTTTTTGATGAGTTATCAGTAGTTAAAGACAACTCTTTTGTAGCGCTTTTGTTAAATTCATTATTCGTATTGTTTTTCAATAACAATAACTCATTATTCACTGGAATGTTAGTCTCACTTAAGTTATCGCCAATACTTTCAGTACTCATACTCTCGTTATCTGTATTTGACTTTAAAGTCATACAGTTATCCGAATCACGAGATCCCGACTCTTGAGCCACTTCTGGGCCGACACCACAACAGATGCCTTCCATCGTATTGTCTGAGCTATTGTTTGAGTCATTTGTCTCATTGATGGCCACAACTGAAGTGAGTGGCGGTTCACTGGCGTTAGTAATGGTGGTGTCGGGGTCTGACTCGTCCTCTTGGATGACAGGAATGCCATTCTCGGAGTCGTCGTCATCCTCTTTGACCCCCAAATTGGTGTCGTTTTTAAGTTTAATATGATTTTCGTTCACAAAATCCGATTCAATCGAAACAAACGGAATGTTTTGGTTAAACGTATCCAACGGTGACATCGAAGACAATATGTGAGGCAAAAGACCTAACGATGCGGTACTGCTCTCTTCGATAGACATCGACATGAGATTGAGATCTGAGTTCATCTTATCTTTGGTTATATCCGATGAATATGTCTTCAAATTCGCCAACTCTTCGTCCAACTGTTCAAAACTGAAGGCTTTTTGAGAATCACATCCGTTGGACAATGCGCTCACTTTCGACAGATATTCACTGTTTTGGTACTGAATTTCGTTAAGACTTTGAGATTTGCATAAAGAAGTCGTCGTTTTCATGCGATTCGTGTCAACACTTGTCGGACAATCTTTTTCGTCAAATGAATCCATCGTTTGATTCATACTTTTGTTATCTTTGAGACAAACAAATGAAATAACAATTAATGAAACAATTATTATAATTCAAACAATGATTACAAAATGTAAACAAAAACACAATAATTATAAAATAATTAATAGATTAATGAATAGATTAACTGATTATCTGATAAATCACTAAAACATAGCAAACAATGGCTTACGATTGGGACGATTGTCGGCACTCTTGAGATCCTCTTTGCGACCAATTAGTGATCTTTTGTGATTCAAATCGTTATGATTATAGTTATTGTGGTTATTGTTGAGGCTGTGGATGGGTTTGTTCAGCCGAGGAATGCCTGAGTCGTGACTTCTGGAGCCATCACTCGGAGCACCGGTCGACACATTCATCCGCGGAAGTCGTGAACCAACTCTTGGTTTCGGGTATTTGTGATCCATTTGTTAGATTCAATTTAATCGGCAATCAATTGACTCATTAGATAAAAGACACAAATTGTGGACATTTTGTCGACATATTTGTCTCACAAATCGGTTCAATAGTTTGTGAATAGAAATAATTGCATATAAAATAACTATTAGTTTAGTGTCGAAAGCAATGCATTAATCGATTAATGGGTTAATTGTTTGCATTGTTAACGTCAATAGTATTACAGTTTCCCTACAAATCCACTGTCAATATGGAGTGATTTTGCGGGAAATCACTGCTAACTCAATCACTCACTTAAGTTTCTTCGTCAATTTAGGCCCATTTCCTAAGAGAGAATCTATTAATATTCTATAAGCAACATTATTATAAATAGTACCGGTATGCGTGTGACATATAACATAGGACTCAATTTGTTGTACGCTGTGTTCAATTGATTTAAATAGTTATTTGCACACAAATACTGTGACTCTGGGAAGGGGTGAGCGATTAATAATTAGAGGGAACGACAGTATTTTTGTTTGTTTTCATAATAAAACATAATTAGAGTTTAATTATGCGAACAGAGTTTGTGACTGTTTTTAACAGATATTGGGTCAGCAGAGAGTGCAATAAAACATTACAACAGCTTATGAAACAATTCAGTAGTCATTCACTCATACAATAAACTTAATGATTATTATAACTTATAATAAGTTAAGCTTTTTATGATATAATCATATAATTTATGAATATATAAAAGCGTATAAAACTGTATTCACGATGTAATTGCTGTTATTAGAGTCACTTAAAGGCCTTAAAAAGTTAGCAGGCGCAAATTCTGGTGTCGATTCTTGTGATTCAATGAATATGTGATTACAGTTGAGGTATAAGTCACTGACTATTCAATACATGATTTGATTGCAGAATGCATTGAATATCCAATACAGCATTGAATGCTATTATAATATGTTGTTAAGCAAACAAAACTGATTTATGGTTCACATGATATGAAAGCAATGAGAGACAGAATAAGTCTAAATAGCGTTCACACAAACAGGAAATCTTAGAGTTTGTTTGTATAGCAAATAAACACTAAAAAATAGTCGATATGTAGACTTATTGTGAAGTTTTGGATAAATAGTGGCATTAATTGATGGGAAACACTGTAGAGCACTCATACACTATACACTGATACAGCAATTATAGCACTGGTATGGCATAGGTATAGCACTGGTATAGCATAGGTATGGCAATTATAGGATGTGACTGTAATTGATGTGTTTGGACCTTAAACTTGTAGAGAAGTGCCAATAATAATAGAAATACAGTTATAATAATAATAACCCGAAGCGAAGTTAACTTTTTATAAGTTTTTGCATTAGCTTTGAGAACAACTAATTTCTAGTTTTCTTTACTCCCAACACATATAATACCTGTTATATTGCGAACACATTTAATATACAATTTTTATCAAAGTTGGATAAATGCATTGAGAAATTCATACAACAAATTAGTGTCTGGTTTAGAGTCACGAACTCTCAACTCATGGAAATGTTGACATCATTTCCAACTCCACAGAAGTCTAATCCAATAATTGCCACAAAATATCATTAAATAAACTATTGTTTGGTAAAAGTTTTAGAAGTTCTTAACGTAAAGTAGAAACACTTAACAACAAAATTATTTAATCAAAATCACTATCTATTTATTGAATATATATATTATTAGAGAAAACATGAACTTCTTATTACTTCAGACTTTAATCTCATTTTTGTTTTTCCACTCGTCTTTCAGCACACAGTTATGGGACAAGAGTTCAAATAACTTTTGACTTTCATTATAATTACTGCTTTTCTCATTAACTAACTTTTTCACAGACTTTAGGCATTAAACGAAATTAAATTTGAGTTAAAATTACACTCAAAGTAAATATATGTATTCACAAACTAACTCTTCACTAGATTTCTATATTAATAGTGAGTGAAAAAATAATTAAAGAATTAGTTTCTAAAACTTTTACCCATTTCTAACAATTGATGAAAATTGAAAGCATTTTAATTATTACCAAACTATTGCTAAACTAAAATCAATAATTCACATATTCTACAGTATTATTGATTGCAGTCATTCATTAAATAAATTCAATTTAATTATCAGAAAATCAATACAGTGTTAGCCTAATAGTGCTATCGTCTACTGAATTCTACAGTATAAGCAGTTTCTCTCATAAATTCATATTTAGAGCAGTTATAAAAAGTTATAAAATTATCTCTTTCCCAATAAATCATTTTTGATTCAATAAATTATAGAAACTTGTATTCATTCACACAATAATTTATAATAATCTATATTCAGACAGAATTTTTGTTTATGAATTATATAAAATTTTGTATAAGTAGTGTACCAGTTATAATTTATATAAATATAAATTATAGGCCATAATAATTGTGACAAATAGTACTGCAATGAGACAGACCATATTTATTAGTTACAATTGCCTTGTGAATAGGATATCAGCTCCAAATCACAAGAATTTAATTCATTGTATTGTAAATGAATGCAGAATTGTGTGAAATGAACATATGATTGGTGTCAAAATTATAAGTGTACGGCACCGGGAGGTTGGTTTGTAAGCGCGCTTACTGTAACTTATAATTATGTTTGCGTTAGGAAAGCTTTCAAACATTAATATTATTATTATTAAAATAAAAGTCTTTAGAAATGATTAATATGTAATATGTATTCGTAAGAATATTATTTGATTAGAGTACTTTTCAGTGCAATAATTAAGTTGTATTTCAAAATAAGACATTTAGAGATAACAGAATAGTTTTGTAGGTTCCGCACAAAATTTATAATATACAGGGTATTGATGATTATTTTGTGAATCCTTTTTACGTTAGCATATGAATTGCATAACCAAATTGATTTCCTAACAGATGTATGTCATGTCATTGAAATTATATTCTTGTAGCAAAATGTGTTTATATGAGAGTTTATACATCTGTTATACGGAATAACATAAAATTATTACTTGTATTATATTTCACTTCTGTTTACGTACAGTAATTCACAGTAAATCTTAAGAATATTATAATATTTACAACTGCTATAAATATTTATAAACACAATTTATTTCCAATTGTTAATTACGATTGAGAATTATAATATATTATGTTTATTGTCACGACATTTAGATAAGGATTTATTCAAACATAATGTGTTTAAATGTTTGCATATTGTATATCGAATAAATAAATAATAATCATTTGCTCTCAAAATCGTATAACATCTATTTATAATGAAAACATCATAAAAATTAGTTCAAAATATTAAATTGAAAAAGTTTATGATGGTCTAACACCCAAATTCATGAAATATTCATTCAAATCATTGAAAGCTTAAATATAAGTGGCAAACAGTCGATCGTGTGATCAACTCATGCTCTCTTCCCATATTTGCAAAACTTGTTTTCGCAGAAATCATTCGCTGGAAGTCTTATTCAAAACCAAATCAGACATTGCTTTCAAATACAGTAATGGACAGTATTTTCCGACTTTTTGACCGAATCGAAGTACAACACGGAAAGACATTAGTCTCTCACGCGCTCTCCTATATCACTGCATCCAAAGTATACGATAAACAAAAAACTTATTATTTGCAAGGGTTGGGGTTGGGAGGGATGACCAGATGTGGGCATATTCTATAAACCCTTTATTCCCTTTTTCTCAATTAAATTTCAGATGAATCGATAAATAGCTTATTGAGGCTACAAATTGAGTCATACAGTAGGTATAGCACCAAACAGTACAGCAGAATATAGTATAGAATTAAGTTAACACTGTTTTGCTTTTATTGTAGACTAATATTGAAAACACATTCAATTTATTAAAGCCCTAAAAGCATAAAAAATTCTAATAAAAGTAGTTATCTTATCTACAAATGTTATTATATTTTATCATTGTTCATTTTAATAGATAAATACTGTCTTACCCTACTCACTTTCGCTTAATCTTCTAGACGATAGTAACCTACTGTTTGTGTTGGACGATGTCTTTCAGTACCATTTGCCTCCTGTCCGAAAAATTCCTCCACTTTTATGGACACGAATCCGAAATGATTTACCAAATTATTTGACAGAAAGAGATGCAAACGGTGTGAATGCCATGAATTGGTATCACAAACAATTCAGGGACGCATCCATTCAAAGATATTTCGTGACCGAAGAGAATGTCCTTTACTTTCACTCATCAATCGCTGACTATTATATGGGTGTTTGGGGAGGGGGTGTAGAAAAGCCATTCAAATACACTGAACCACAGAAAGAAAGATTTAAATTAATAGAAGAAGAATCGAAAGCTGACCGAAAAGTGCCGACACAGCCATTGGCCTACTTTTCTGTTGACGGAAGGATTACGAGATATAATCTGCGAAAACTGGCAGAACTTCCCTATCATCTGATTCGAGCCAAAAGATTCAATGACTTATTGAAAACAGTGTTATTTGATTACAATTGGTTGCATTCAAAGCTTAGTTGCTTTCCATTGCAATCAATTTTATCAGATTTTGAAGATTCCGTTCATTCTTTAAGCAAAGACTGCAATCCAAACGTTATAAAAGAGATTTCATTACTGGCCGATACATTGAAATTATCGGCACCTATTATTGTACAGTTCCCTAATATGATTGGTCCACAAATTCTGGCCAGACTTCTATGTCTTAGAGACGACTGTCCTAATATACGTAACCTATTAAAGCAATGTGACACTAAGGGTGCCCTCCATTGCGCACTACTTCCGGTCAATCATTGTCTTCACACACCGGGAGGTCCTCTCATGTATTCACTAGAAGGCCATCCTTTCGCTGTTTTTGATTTTGCATTAACTTCTGACTCTCGTTATGTTATATCTGTTTCCAATCGATTTATAATGTGGGACTTATCTACCGGTGAGGTTACATTAGATATCGATCCACTCATTAAAGGGATTATGCATTCAATGTTAATAACAAAAGATGATAAGCATGCCATCACTTATACTAATTATAATGAGATAATTATATTAAATATCATATCAACGGAGATCACAGTTATTTCAGCATCACAAACAAGGTTTACTAATAATATAATAGGAATAGCTTTAGCTTTCGATCAAATTCATGTGATTGTGTGGACTAGTGATGAATGGCTTGTATTTGATAGCAAACTAATTAATACTGCATTAGAAAAGAATAATATAATTACTAATCATTGCGATTACAGACAGTGCGGTAATGCATTGGAAAACAAAATATCATTAGTTATGATTGAATACATCAGTGATTCTGAGAGACATTTGATTTATGAGATACAAGACAAGGAATTCTCACTGCAAACCACTCATAATAATAAGACATTTAAATCAATTGAATTCAGAGCTGCCATTGCGCTGAACAAGAGCCGCACCATTGTGTTCGTCGGCGACCTCTCAAACAAAGTCTGTTACCACAGAAGGCGAAGAAATAGATGGTCGCCGAAGAGACAGCTCTCGACGGATGACATTCAGACTGGAAATCAATTGCTTTCGTTACAAGTTTTTAAGCATAAATTTTTAGTGGCTCTCCATTTAAGAGGATTTTATATTTGGACCATTGATTCGCTGCCATTGAGTGACAAGTGTCTGTACCTCCCGCTGCCCCACACCGTCCGCAACATATCAATAAAGCCACTCAAGTGCTCCAATCCTATAGTATTTTCAAAGACAAACCAATACCTGATGGCAGGCGTCCGCAAAAGTCTCTACATTTATTGCCTTCAGAGCTCACAACTCCTGAAGACATTGGACGCACACTTCGCCAGAATTGTTCAAATCAAGTCATATATTGTCGACGATTTGGATGCAATTGTCACCTCGTCTTTCGATAAGACAATCAAAGTGTGGAATATTAAGAATCTCTTCGAACGCGTCCACACTATCGACAAAATGGATCTTCCGATCGATTCCATCAGTTTTTCGTCGCAGAAGAATTTGGCGCTAACTGTCACCAGGAATTCGGTGGGCATCTGGTCTCTCGAGAGGGCACAACTGCTCACCACTCTGTCCGACTCCAAGATCGGAGCCATTGTCACCCACGCCATCATCACAGACGACGCCCGGTATGTGTTGTCCATCGAAAACGACAACTTCTTGGTCTGGGATTTGAATGATTTGAAGATTGTTTTTAAAGAACAAGAAAATAATGTAAAGGATCTCATTGTATGTGATAATGATTCTAAAGCTCTGATTATCAGACAAGTGTCAGATGAAAATGATGTCAAGAATATGGTAATGTCTGTCAGAGCAGTTCCAACGGGTGACAAATTGTATGAAATTATATTTACTTCTATGAGTCGGTGCACTAAATCGGTGGTCACTACAAAAGACAACAAATATATTGTTATATCAATGACTGATAACTCTTCGAAAGAAGTTCTTGGAGTCTATCACTTAGAAAACGGAATTCTTATGCATTCAATAAAACTGAATGAAAATAAGATTAAATTCACGGAAATGTTTGCCATTAGATATCGTGGCAAAGAGACTGTCGTCGGACTCATTGGCGGAGAGTTTTCATACATATTGGATGTCTTAACGCAAAGAGTGATGACTAGAATCACGCGATGGAACGGACAGATAGACTCTTCGGGCAAATTCGGACTCTTTGTCCCCCAGAGAGGAGGTCTCGAACTCATTGATCTCAAGTACGGATCAACTCTTAAGGTATTACTTCCGCACACATCCGAAGGTGTGGTGCGAGTGATGACTGGATTCACAAGCGATAACTCTTATGTCTTCTACTATCATACCATGAAAAAGACAATTCGGTTAGTATTTGACCACAAATTGTGACAAATCTTCACTCAATTAATGTATTATTTGTTTGCAATTAAAGTCTAATTCGTTTAGAAGACCCTTTTCACTAGCGTTTGATATCCGACTCGCGGCTGCGGTAGCTGTAGGTCAGGTCGGGAGTGAGGTGCATACAACACCAGCCTCCTGACCTGCCGTCAGAGTAACAGGAGTAATATCGGCTATTATGCAGTAAGGATTGTGTCAAACATCTCAATGAACTGCCGTCTCGTATGAGCGCATCCACTCTCACCCAACAGAACCCCTTCAAGACGTGGAGGACTGTCGCCAAACTAGCGGTCATTGCGGCCAAAACTCAGACACAGGGCTCTCAGACAGACTCAAAGACATGTGTATTGAGCTGATCCGCACATATAGTGTATATAAATTGTATGTAATGTGTATTAATTGAATAAAAGTGTGATTTAAATGTGAAATGAAGTTTAAGTTATGTTGAAAGTGGCGCCCAATGTATGGCATGTATTGCTTCATCATTTGTTTTGTCCAAATGTGTGCTTTTTTCCGACGTTTTGTCTCTCGTATAGTATTGTCTCTCACATTACGTAACGCTTATGTTATGTCACTTTCGGTAACGTTACGTTAAGTTACGTTTGTAGCTGAGTTTACATTTACAAAAGTTACTATAGAGTTGACGTGAATTACAAACAATTGAATTACTGGTCAAACACTAGACTATTATATGAGAGACACGTCCAACACATCCAACACTTCCAGTCATGACTTCTAACATCTCTTTGCGATTATCTGTGGCAACAGTTTTGCTCTTAATTTTGGACTTAAATAAGATTATCAACAAATGTTGCGGTCATTTGCAAACAGGTTGGTTACCATTATCACCATGACCATGGTCATTCACACCATGGCTCCCATTATCACTCAAACAATCAAACCTATTGTTTATATCGCAGTCAATCATATCAATTACATGAGGGATGAGTCCATGGATTCGTTGCCATCAGATCTGTCACATATCCTCCGATTCACTCCGGAATCGCTTCACTTTCATCAACAGTCGGTCCATCGGTTGCCATGTCTTTGACGACACTAATGATTGTCTGTATTTGCAGTTCAATTGGTATCCCATTTGTTGAGAAAGTAATGGTCGAAAACATTGAAAACGAAAACCCGATTCAAATGCTTTCCATATCTGGAAATACCGTTCATTTTCACTGTTCCTTCTTCGAGGACAAAGTAAGCCATTGTGTAGTGAAGTGATAACTGATCTCATTGTGTGACCCATTCCTCAGGTGCTAGAGTCGGGCGGAAACACTACTTTCGAAGTGGTATTTCTGGCGCGAACTGAAGGACCCGTTAATAACACTCTTTATATCCACACATCTTTGGGTTCATTTCAATATCGTGTCACAGCTATTGGTGTCGAGAATCCCTTCCGATTGCGACCATTCATTGGCGCCAAAGTGCCCATCAATTCCTCGTACGCACCACTCATTCATATATACAATCCGCACACTTCCACACTACAGGTCTCTCATCACTATCACTGTCCTCTCATTTGTACTCATAATCCATTGAATCCATTGAATCCATAACCAGTTGACCGAAATGTATACAACAGGCGGTGGACTGCACTTAGAGTTACCGAACGGAGAGCCGGAAGGGCTGAGGAGTTTGTGGCAAATCGCTCCCTTCGAGACCAAGACTATAATGAGAGCCAACTTCTTGGCGCGAAGTGAGAAGAATCACACCTCATATATAAGGATTAAAACCAATAGCAGTGACGACCAGTTTGTCATATTACCCGTCGAAGTGGAGGTGTCGTCAGCGCCGGGCATTTATTCGCCAATAGATTTGCTAGACTTTGGTGTAATGCGAACACAGGACGAGCCGCGAGTGATAGCCAAAGTCTATAACTTACGGCCGAGGTTTGTCTAGGTTTAGGTCTTGCACTAGCGTTGCGGACAGTTACTCCGCGAGTCATAACTGAAGTGCCGTGGGTAGTTTCACAGCGGGTTATATAAAGTGCGGTAAGATATCGCGAGAGTGACACTAATGCCAAATAAGATCACTCAGTGCTCCAAACAGTGCACCGGGAAGATTGTGGTCAAGTCTAAGAACAATCAGTACAAGTTAGCCATTCCTTACGTCGTCCGACTACTGCAGGGGTTTGTCATTCAATGATTGGTTAATTTATTTTATAATTATTGATACATTTATGAAAATGTTGACAGATTTCTAAGTTATAACGAAACACAAACACAATTCTATATACAATCAAATTCAATACAAGAGAAACGAAGTCTCGTTTTGCATAATAAATTCAACTCAACTCTTGTGATTCATTCGGTGTCACTGCCCGATGAGGCGAAGCCTTATTTTAAAGTATGTCTTCTTTAAGCTCATAATAATAAGAATATTCTTATGGTTCCTATCTATATATGAAAGGTTGTGTTGGCCTCACCCGCTGTCACATTAGCTGAAAATTCAAGTGAAACGGCGCTTAAGATAACGTTTACGCCGTCATCACAATTGAGTCATTTGGAGACCACTTTTCGTTTGAATACGAATTTAAGTTATTTTGACGTTTCCTTACAGGCCTATAGCGGCAAACTAGACATTCATACATAACGTAAGTGGTGAAGTAAGTAAGTACAGATTGTTTTGGATAGGTAGTCAAATAAGGAGTCAGCAACTTAGTTTGCCAAGAGCTAAAGCCACGGTAACCAAATCCTCTCTTTTTCAGCTAGACTTTTGCTGTGATTAACAATAACCCGGTTGTCGTCAAACTGAAGCATTGGGGCTGTAATATGAGTAAAGCATACGTCGAGCTCATGGGTATCGCTGAGGGGAATGCGACCGTTATCTCACATAAGTTGGACTTTTCGACACTTTCTAAAAAACAGGTCTTTATTTGATATTTAATTAAAACGTTTTCTGAAAGTATTTTCTGTGTTTAGATAACAATTTTAAAACCTAAATATTATGCGATATTTAAACTCCATTTGATTGGCTTTCAAGAGGAGGGGGTTTATTACGGCGAGACATTTGTGGAGACGGCTTATGAGAGGATAAGTATTCCCTTTGTTTTACACGCAGTCGAAGGGAGTTTTGTGTTGGAGAAGGTAGTGCTGTCCAACTGTTTTCCCGGCCGTATATCATCGCAAACCGTCGGAATCACCAGTTATTTCACTCATGACCTCAAATACAAGTCATCGATAGTTATGCCCGAAGACGAGCGCTTCTCATTCCAGTTGAACGACTCGGAACAGTCTATACCGCTGTTGAGATAGCCGTTCAACATGAAGCTGGGTTAGTTCTCAACACCGTTTAACACAATGAGTCCTGAGCTGTGGAGGTTTCTCCAGCCGGTAGAGACCGAAGACCCGCAACCCCTCCATCCCGACACCGGATATATTGATAAAGAATTACATAAACTGTACAAAACTTCACTTTTAATTAACTTATAGTACTTTTTACAGTTTTTACTTTCTTTTTCCACAGTCTATACAGTCGTTGGACTAATTTGCAGGAAAACGATAAAACGTTTGTTTTTTTATTTTTAAATGAATTATTAGACTATAATTTAGTTGTTTTGTGAATAGAATTAACGTAACGCTTCGGATGGTAATCGATGGCGTGAGTCCACTAGCGATTAGTCGAGTCCGTGTCAATGTTACCGGATTTGAATAATTATTTTTCGAATATTTCAAAGGGTAGTGAGCTCAGCCCTTATATTGACATTCAGTATTAACTTAAGATATACTTTTGCAGATTGTTAACTTTGATTTGTTTTGATTAGAATAAAGAGATAATAATAGAGAACCCTTCCTCTCAACTGGTTCTCATTCAAGTGATCCTTTTGTCTGATTATCCGAATCCCGAAGCGATTCTTCAATTGTTTAAATCGGGATTTCGTACGCAATGGACAGACTTAGAGTTGAATTCAGCGGAAACTAAACCTAAAAGCTTTCACTTAACGAATCTGACATCAGATGAAGTGATTTCTAACCGAAAGAATATTAAGGACACGATTGGTGTGAATCCGGACTCGAATTCAATGACATATTTAATGCCATTCGGGACGCGAAGGAAGGTTTCCATTAGTTTTGCCCCAAAAGACGATTCAGCGCTGGTTTCGACCATTTTGTTGATACGAAACAATTTGACAATAATAGACGCCGTATTACTTCAGGGACAGGGAGGGAATGGCATATTGAAAATAGGCAATCAATTACCGGGATCTAAATCTGTTCTCTCGTTTGAATTACTTGAAAAGCATCTGAAGAGTTGCTCGAAAGCAAAGGGCGTTCAGTCCTCATCCAGCAGTTCCTTCCCAATAGAGCCCACATTCACAGTCCACCGGACGTTCACTGCTGTAAATGTGGGCAAACTTTCCATGAGAATCAATGGCTTTGCAATCGGACCCCAAACCGGTGCCACAGCTATGACTTGTCAGGGGTTTGGGTTCAAAGTGATAAATTGCGGTCCTTTTGATTTGAGACCCAATGAAAACCGCAAAATTCATATCGCATTTACTCCTGACTTCACTCAATTCAAAGTTAAACAAATGCTGACAATAATCACGGATAACCCGAATGAGAAGATTGAGTACGCATTGATGGCAACTCTACCCAAACACCTGCTCCCGGTTTGCAATCAGTCACTGCCGCGACCCAATTGGGAGGCCGTCCTCTACTACTGTTTGGTAACGATGATGACGTTTATGATACTTCTGGCAGTTTGTGTGGCATTCTTCGATGGCGACCGAATCCTTAACTTCTCTTTCTATCCCGTTTTGTCCACTTATGCGGTCACACCCTATGAGACCAATAGTATGAGTGCCGCTTCCGAAGAGATCAATGACAAGATGTTCCAAAAAGTGACCAATTTTTCAAATACTGACGATTCAAAAGATAAACGAAACAATGAATTAAGAAATAGGAAATTTAACGTTAAAACAAAAACCACTCGAAGTGCGAATACTAAAGAGGATCTAAATAGTGATATAAGCGGTGGTCGTCTCTATGAGAGACAATCGTGGACTCAGTTCTTGAAGAAAAAGTTTGTTCGCCGCGACTCTTCCGGAAGCGATAAAAGCAATGGCAGTCACGTTAACACCCGTTCCTCTTCGCAAACAAATCTCACAAAATGTCAACACATGAGCACTGAAAGTGTGAAAAAAGAGACAATAAGTTCTGCAAATGTGGACAAAACAGTGACTAATAATAAGTCGAAAACGAAGAAGAATCAAAAGAGTGAAACGAATAACAAAAAGAAATTAATTTATTCGACAAAACAGGAGAACCTAACGAATGTGATATCGTCTCCACCGCCACCTCTGCCAGAGTTCGCGTCATCTTTCGATGAGGAGAGCTTTTACAAGAACTTGAAGTCCAATAAGAAGTCGAGAGCCAATTCACTGCATACAGACGCCAACCCCGGACCCTCTTCTCTGGAACTGCCGTATAAACCGAAGAGTAATGTGATTAGCAATACATCCAATACTAAGGGTATTTCCAAACGATCTAAAAATAAAGAGGATTTAGTTTTAGACGATAACGAGTCATACCATTCCTCTAATGAGAACTCAATCATATGGGACTCGCCTATAAATACGTTGGATTCGGATAACTCTATGTCTGAATTGGTTCGCCAAACAGAACTGTTTGCAGAGAAGTCACATCTGTTTGACCAGAAACTCAAGTCAAGAACCAAATCAAACGAACAGTCGATGTATTCTTTTGGCCAAAATCGCGATCCTTTGCTGTCTAACAGTTGGTCTCACATCAGATCATCGACACCTCCGGCCACCACTTCTCACCATTTAATAGATGAGTCCCTATTGGAGAGACGGACGCCTCCCGTCCGGTTCACACAAGCCGTCGAACGACCCATACCTGCGAACCCGTGGTTAACAACAGATATGAATTCACCGAATATTAACACTTTGGACAACGAATTAAATCAATTGAGGGAAACATCTTCGCCGTGGAATTCACAGAACTATAGCTCATCCCAAACGACACCCCAACCCCACAAACCCAGTAATTGGAACCCTTTTGAATCGACTAAAGACTTGTGGAACAGCTCTAAGTGGTCGTCGCCCTCACAACCACTGACCTCTACTTCTAGTCAATCGACATCTTCGCTATGGAACGACTCATTCGGCACCAACTTATGGAACACTAGTGGAGCGCCTAATGAAATGCCCAACACTTGGGGTGACTTCTCGTCGACAGTGGGCGCCGAAAATGTCTCCAATTTGGTCAACAATAACAACAATTCAATCTCCGACTCAATGGACTCCTCATTCAATCTATTCGGTCGATCCCTTTGGAGTCCGCTCTCGACCACTACACCCAACACAAGCCTAAGCGTCACAACCACTACCCCAACCACCACTGAGTCGACCGCTACTCCATCCACCACTTGGTCTTTCACTCCATTCTCGTTGTTTGGCTCCTCTTCTCAGAACCAATACAACAGAAATAGTGAACAAAAATAAGTGAATTGTTTTCAAATGAAAAGCAAACTTTATTTGAATAAAATTGGTTCATAACAAACATTATTAGATATTTTGACAAAATAAATAGTTTTAATTTTAGAAATGCTATATTTTTATAACGTAAATCGCCTTGAGGTAGTTATTTAAATCCGCGAGGGACATTACTGTTTGACCGTTTGATAATGGCCATGACAAAATGTCAATAAAACTTAATCCGTTGCAATAATTTACCTACAAATAACCCTGATCAGGAATTACCATTCCTGATTTAAATTAAATAAACAACCTATATTTTGTAGAATAATCTTTACAATATTAATAGAATATTCAAGTATTTACTATAGGTTCGTGAATAATAAATAATAGAGAGAGAGAGAGAGAGAGAGAGAGAGAGCGCTATACTGTATATCTGTTTATCACAAACTGTTTACGGCTTTTTGTTTGGATTTATTATTACCGGTATTTCTAAATTATGAATTTTGTTGAGATTTATCGGTCGAGTCCTCGGAATCGTTAGTTTTGTCCGAAACGACAGTCTTTCCCGTCAGCTCTCGACAAAAGAATCGCTACCGAAACCCAGGCTCTACAAGCTACAAGACTTCCCACTGGCGTCACAACGGGTGTCATATGTTCCGGAGGAGTCATCGCCACCGGCTAACGCCCGGCATGAATAGATTCACTACACCAACGGTCTCGTCGGTCACTGTTTTAGCCAAAAGTTTGACGTTTTCTGTGATCCCGTTATAGAGAGTTCCGAAGCCCTGTAGTGTCCCGGAGGCCACTGTGAAGATATTGTCGCAGATCTGATCCGATTCGTTGTCTGTCTTTCCCGAAACACTTGTTATCAATTTCTTGGACTGTCTCCTGACATGTGGTGCGTTTGTAAACGGGTTAACCAAGCAGGGAAACCGGTGTCACAACTGGCGTATTGGCCAATGGCTTCGCCGACAGCTCCTCCGCAAAGAGTCAGGAGAATTTGGTCACTATTGAGACCCCAGCTAGAGGCGGTTCTGAGTCGGTTCCGACGGGTTGTTTGTCCTAAACTGAGCCGCACTTCGTTTGACAAATTCATTGGCCTTTTGTGTGCCATAAGTGATGCCATTGTTTAGCATCTCCGCGCCGTACACTATATTCTTGGCGATAGTGTCTGCCATTCCTGATGGTTGTCCACTCGACGGTACAGATTGAGCGCCAATAGGTTCTGGTTGTGGTGCAGATTGTGGTACTGATTGTGGCTCTGGTTCTGACATTTCCATCGGCACCTCTGCATCTATTGGAGTTGAAGGCGCCGAAGGAGTTGCTATCAACTGATCCACAATGGGTTTCCATTCTTGAGGCGCGTCCTGGATATCGCAATACAGAAGTAAAACGTTTTCGAGTAACAAGACTTTGATCTCATCGACCACTTCGGAGGCGCCGAAGGAGTTGCTATCAACTGATCCACAATGGGTTTCCATTCTTGAGGCGCGTCCTGGATATCGCAATACAGAAGTAAAACGTTTTCGAGTAACAAGACTTTGATCTCATCGACCACTTCGGTGTTGATGAACACTATAGACAGCGATTGAGGAGTGGAGACATCGGGGAACAGATAACACGGCCTTTGATGGCGGTATCGGAAGACATGGGTTTTGTCCCTTTCCAACGGATAGAACCAATCCTTGCACTTAATGATGGCTAGTCTTTGAGACAAATCTCTTTGAGTTGAGTCCACTTTTCCATCGATTAGTTCCCGAAATATACGGAGGTTTTGCTCTTTGATCACTGAATTCAACTCATACTCGC